TAACTAACACACTACACTACACTATATATATATATATATATATATATATATATATATATATATATATATATATATATATATATATATATATATATATATATATGTGTGTGTGTGCATATAGATTTGGATGCAAGATTGTGTCAATTGGAGTCACTATTTCCAATTTGTCGACATTAGTCATCTAGACTCAGCAATTGAGGAGCAACTGCAGAGTAATGGGCGCGAGAACACTCTTCCTATCCAATGATTCATAAACATCGCCGTGGCTTACTTTTGCGTGTCCGTGGATTCACTTTTTTGTGTGTGCCATACAGCATACCATAGACTAATTTAATATCTTGGCGATGGGTAGTGTGTTGGTTATATAAACTAAGCTATGGGTGGTGTGTTGGTTATATAAACTAAGCTATGGGTAGTATGCTGGTATACTAACTAAGCTATGGGGTAGTGTGTTAGTTACATTAACTGAGCTGTGTATTGTGATAGCCACATTTACTGAGCTGTAGAGTGTGTCAGGTACACTTTGCCTGTTGTAGGGCTTCCTGCTTTCTAAATAGTTTGTTCATCTGTTCGTTGGCACTCGCAGATGAGCTTTGAAGAGGCTGTGAGGGTCATTCGCAACTACGCATTCGAAGGTGAGCGAGCGTGCTTCGTTATTCTTTGTTGTGCTTTGCTGTGCTGGGCTGTGCTAAAGGTTTTAGCTGTTCACGTTCACACTCTTGCGCCCTGTCTTTCTCTGTTTTTAACACACATCAACCACCCGTCCCTTCATTCACCATCCCTTCATTCACCGTTCGTTCTTTCTTTCAGCGTCGTCATACCCTTTGATACTGTCCATAGAGAACCACTGCTCGGTGGTTCAGCAGGGCTACATGGCCAACCATCTCAAGACGCATCTGGGCGACATGCTGTGTGTGCCACGGATGAGCGACCGACACACAGACACTTTGCCTTCACCCAGGGAACTCATGCACAAGGTCAGTGCATCAGTGCAGGCGCATGGGACAGTCCGTGGCAGGCGGCTGTAGAAGGGGTCAGCTGACCTGCAGACCTGGTGTTGTGTATATTACTACTGTGAATAGACATTTTGGGTTTTAGATTTGGTGTTTGGGTTTTGGGTTTTAGGGTCATACATTCGGTTTCGTCGTGCGAGGCCTAGGCCTTACGATGGTCCTTTGTACGTCTATCTGCTGTGTTGAGCTTCGTCCGCTTTGCTCACCAAAGGAATTATTCGCAGACTCATGTACCACTTGTCATGGCATATGTTTTACGGTTTGAGAGTTTCAGCGTTTTAGGTCGGTATGTATTACATCTGTTTCAGATCTGTTTCAAACTGAAGGATTCGCGGGTTAAGCAACACTGGCATACATAGCGTGTGTAGTGTTACAAATGAATTCTAAACATTAACACTACTGGCATCCATAGTGTGTACCATGTTACTAACGAATACTAAACATCAGCACTACTGGCACCCATAGTGTGTGCAATGTTGCTGAGCCTTGCATGCAATACCGCCACGTGTACAGATTCTCATCAAAAACAAGAAGAACCAATCACACCCGTCCAATGAGTCATCGGACAATGTCAGCGGATCAATTACCAGCGCATTGGATGAAGAAATCGACCAGAAGGACTACGATCAACAGTTGATCCGACATCTGCAGGTAAGTCAACTATACACAGGAGGAATATTGGGTATGTCTTCGAGTGTTTATCAAATATGTCGAGTGATCTGTCTTATTAATAACTATGTGAGGTAATCTGTCCTATTAAGAATGTCAGATGACTTGTCCTATTGAATATGTCATGTGATCTGTCCTATTAATACATATGTTAGGTAGTCTGTCCTATTGAATATGTCAGGTGATCTGTCCTATTAAATATGTCAGATGACCTGTCCTATTGGATATATCAAGTGATCGGTCCTATTAATAACTACGATAGATTGTTTGTCCTATTAAATATGTCAAGTGATCTGTCCTATTAAATATATCAGATGACCTGTTCTATTGGATATGTCAAGTGATCTTTCCTATTCTTAACTACGTTAGGTAGTTTGTCCTATGTAATATGTGAGGTGATCTGTTCAATCTCATGGACCCTTTGCCTGAATCATACGCATGGTAGCCTATCTTGCACATCTTGTACACGTGACATCGTTCGCATCGCATGGTAGGTACAGTATTCAAAGTGTTGTAGGGTTTAGGGTTTTGTGTATGGGCCTCATCGTATTTCACCGTACCATGCCACGTGGCTGTGCTCAGAATGTCGAGGGCATCTCTCAACTGAATATGAAAGACTACGAGAGCGAAGAAACAGCACAGACAGCCGACCAAATCACCGTGGCCGTTGAACTGTCGCAGATGGTCACCTACTGCCAACCTACCGACATGAGAGCAATCAAACACGCCATACACCAGTTCAAGGTAAATGCACAACCCTATAACCACTTTAAGGTGAATGGGAATCCCTCAAACCGGTATATATATATATATATATATATACACATACATATATATATATATATATATATGTGTGTGTGT